CATCCAAACAAGTACTATCAGCATTTACTATTAAAAGTGCTATTGCACTCTTTACTATGGCAATATGCTGCTCTGTATCAGCAAGGGGAAGTGTCATTGCAGTTAAATGTATGTCTAGAATAGAATCCTAAACTAGACTGCACACCCTCTATAAGTTAGTTATAGAACTTGAATGTAAAGTTTTTGTGAACTTTTTTACCAACCACATACAATAAAAGAAGAGTTAAACTGCTAGAAGAACGTAACTGAATAATTGTTTCAGTTTTTAATTATTGGTACTGACGTAGAATAGGGGTGTCAAATTTTTTGGGCTTTGTGGACCAGATCCAGACCACAGGGCTTCTCATGGTCTGCATCTGGTCTATGGGGCCTCCTACAGTGCAGACGACCTACATGAAGAAACATTAATTCCCATGGTTGCCACGACCACTGTTTCAACATGGCTCCAGAACCCAGATAGTTAGCACTGCTGTTTGCCTCCTCCCTTTTCCCTTAGCTGCCAATATCGTATCACATAATGGTGAGGCAAGGCAAGCATTAACTCCATCGGTTCTAGAACCATGACTTCACAGTGGGAATTAACACTGTTGCTGCAGAAGCCCTGGCAACTGCGATGCGATCCCAATGGGCTGATCCCAGCCAATAGATGTAGGTGGTCCAGCCCACAAGAAGCCCTGCAGGCTAGATCAGTATTTCTCATCTCATGAGTTGTGACCCAAAAGTGGGTCGCAAGAATATAGGAACGGGTCGCAAACATACTTTTAAAAATGGATTCACCTTTAAAGGAGAAAAACAAGGGAAACTGTGGTTTTGCCCTTGCAAGCTATCAGAGTTCCAGCCTGCAAGGGCCTGCTTAGGCCTGCTTGGGCCCCCCTCCCCCATACCCACCCCCTGCCCCACACACTGGGGGTCAGGACTGGCCATTGATGTTTACAAATGGGTCTCAGTACAAAAAGGTTCAGAACTATTGGGCTAGATGACCCACATCCGTGGGCTGGATCCAGCCAGAGGACCATATTCTTGACACCTGTGAACTACGTAAACAGAAGGGTGAAATGCGATGCTGGAGTGCAGTCATGTAATGAGACAGTAGTTAGTATAGGGAAATACCTAGCTCTAAGCAAAGGAACAATGAATTGACATTGATACTGCAATAAATGCATACATGTGGCACACATGCACCATTTATATCTGTGCTTTAAACAAAAGTTATATGATAGCACCTGCATGAGACATGTTACCAAATTTTCCCAAATCCAAGATGACATTTAATTTAAGACCACCCCACAATAATTAGATTCTATATATTCTATAAATGTGTTAGCATTTTCCACATATGGAATCTAATTATTGGAGGGATGTCTTAAATTTGTGCACCTCACTGCTGCAGTGGGGAAAACATCCTCCAGCCCCTTGCCTCCCCTATCTGCCTGCCCCCAGCCACTTGCCGCCCTCAGCTGCCTGGCCCCCTGCCTGCTCCCCAGCAGCCTCTTGCTCCCCTGCTGCCTGCTTCCCCCTGGACAATTGTTCCCCTTCCCCTCCCCATCCCTGCCATTGCTTACGCTGTGCAGACCTTTGGCTCTGACTCTGGCTCCAGCTTTGGCAAAGGGCATGGAGCATATGGTGCCTCTGGCCTTGCCTCAGCCAGGGACCAAAAGCAATGGCAACTCTGAGCCTGGCCTTGGGCTCGGGTTAGAAGTGGAGCCACAGCAGCACTTCTGCCACTACACGATCTCCCCAACACTTTCCCCATTGCATACCCCCTCCCCAGGTTTCACACTGCAGTTTCCCCTGCATTCCCAATACCTCTACCACCTGGTCTCCCCTGTCATCCTGGCCCTGGCCCAAGACAGGTGGTGGCTAAAGCCACAGCAACCACCTACCCTGAGCCAATATTTGAATCCAAGATGAGGGTCCCCCTGCCATGTTGAACGGAGAAAAAAACCTTCATCTTGGATAAAGTAAATACTGTATATTGTATAAAGCTGCACTGCTCTGAACATCAGTCACACAAATGTTAAGACAATTTTCTGACTTAGTGCAGTGTGACTTTATTTTTTAAGCTGACAGCTAGAATAGAAAGTTAAAAATTTTCCCATCAAGAAAATCTCTCTTACAAAGTAGAGAACAGCTTGAATCATCTATCATTTACTAAGTTGTCTGCATATGTCACCTTGTGATTTACCAGAACCCCCAACCTGTTACAAGATAACTAATAAGCTCAGAGTTACCAGTACACACTCTGCAATAGTTTAAACACTACAAACCTTCTAATACTACTTTAAACTAATACTGTTGTACATTAAGTTATTTACAACCTTAAGTCGTAAATAGATCTTGAGTGTGTTTTCTGGGATTATATGTTGATAGTATAAAAGAGTAAATTTTACACTTAGAAATCCTGACTTTTACCCATTTAAGTTTGCAGTTCTGCCATTACTTCTCCCTACCCCACATTTAAGTCACATAAATTTAGAACATATTAAACAGACTGAACCGAACAGGTTCAGAATGTCTTTCTTAGGGCCACCTTTATTTTAGGGCATAAACAAAGGGATCTGCAGAGATGTTGTTAGTCTTAGATATAAGGCAAGAGGAAAAAAGAGAAATTCTCTCTCAATTTTTATAATTTAGTTATAAATAAAATACATGTTCAGTATGTTTTCAACATTTTTAGGAGTAGAGCCCCAGGATGTCCGGGCAGAACACTGAATGAATGTATTGCCAAGTACATGAAGCACAATCTTGAAAATTACCTTGAGTCAGGATATTTAGTAAGTGTGGCCAAGCTGCTGGTATACATGTGCCCACCCACGTCAATATGAACTGGTGCATTGGATTTTGTGAGTTGTGCTGGAGTGGGGATGCCTTGATTGTTCAATGGAGATGCAGGCGATCTAGTGATCAGGGGCCTTGACATATTGGGCCGACTGTCCTGTGAAGAGACGGATTTGCGTTAGTAATTTCCTTAACAAATGAAACAAAACAAAACAAAACACCTCACAAAGATGCACATTTAAGAGTGAATAGCATCATCTTTTGTCTCAACTTCCAATTTTAATCGTGTTAAAGCAAGGATTGATATGCAATTAAAACAAAAAAAATCTGTTAAGCTTTTAACAACTTCACTGTAGTTGCATCGCAAGTTGAAACGCAGAATAAAGCATTGTTATAAAAGCCACAAAAAGAAACCACATTCAACAAAACAAGCTGTTTCTGAATACTATTCATTATAGACAATTCCATACAGAAACAAATGCTAATTTTTGTATTTTTTAAGAGCTGATAAAAGACACTGTAGACAAGAATGCTAACAATATACTTAAATTCAAAAGCAGTAGGGTTTATGTTTCTTCCCAAACCCTTTGCTATACAGTTAGAATAGAGAAATACAAACCCTTAGCTCTTCCATTCTGCAAAGTCTTCTCTTGAATTTCCAATTCACATATCACGAAAACAGAAGAGGAAACACCTGGACTAGCCAACTGTTCATGTACTGTAGAACACTGGGCATCGACAGCCTTTGAGAAAGACATTTTCCATTTAAAAATTATACAGATAGTGACAGATGCCCCTGTGCGCCCCACGCAGGCTACAGTTCTGGGTAGCTTCCTAGTGAAAGCAAGCAAAGTAGAAAAGCAGCAGATGCTTGCTAAAGAAACAAAAAACTTTTATTCACGCAGGAATGGATGTAATGCCAGTAAGTAGCACACACTTAATCTATGCACAAAGTAGGGTGGGGCAGGGAAAAGTGATTTGCAGAAGCCAGTGAGGCAAGCTATTTTCAAATATCTGGGATTAACATACAAACATGTTCAAGATTTGTTTTGAGACAGTTGCACTTTCTACCTAAAGAAAAGGAATATACAAGCGTGATCCTGCAAATACGCACCAAAAACTAGAAGATTTCATGAATTTGGGGATTTTTAATTTAAAGAGGTAAGCAAAGCAAAAACAACAACAACCCCTGCCCCCCCTCCACAAATCAGGTAACTGCACATTGAAACATATTTTGCCTTCTAATTGCAGGAGGTAATTGATCCCCTGTAAATGCCTCACTACAGCATTCAATAACAAGTCTTTGGAAGTATGTGCGACAATCACGGGGTATCTGGGTTAGTGACTTTTTTTTTTTCTATTTAAACATCATTTCTACATCTTTCATTGCTCTTGAAACAAAGATTAGGCAGCATGAACTAGGTATGTGCTGAGGTGGAATAATTTATGGGCCACTATTGCAAAATGACATTCAAGTAAACTTTGACATGAGGCATCTGTAGAATCATAAGGGAATTTAACTGATTTTCTCTTCTAAACAAAAAATAGTGAGTTTGGTTCAAAATGAATAAAAGGTAAAGAGATTGGAGAAACTCTGGTTAACAGGTATGTTATGCAAAAAATAATATAAATTTGCAGGATATCAGTCTTACCAACAGGAACTACTTGAGGATCTGCTTTGGGGCACAACTCAAACAGGTCCAGACAAGATACTAGATACCCACGCTACACTAAACCCTAGTATCTACTATAAATCTGGTATGACATAATCAACACCCAAGATGCTACTGATCATTGGAGACTTGATTACAAGTATTGAGAAAAAGCCTAATAAAAATATATGTATAGCTGGAGAGCTGAGAAAGAATGCAAGAATGATACAAACTGGAAATAAATGAGATAATGAATAGCCACATCAGGGATGAAATACAACATTTATTAAGTACTTAAAAAAAGTACATGATTTTAAAAGCAACTAGAGAGACTGAGATTAAAATTTAAAAACAAGTCCATAATGCAGAGGAAATGCACTGTATTACCTCTCTTACGAGAATTTTTGTCTGAAAAACACAGCCCTGTTACAATTTAGCACTCTGCAGTGCCATGGAGTCTGTAATAGTTTTTCAATTGGACACATTCTACTGTATATCGTGCCTCAGGGTACTCAGGAGAAAATGAGCAGATTTGCAGGGTTAATATTGTAGTTAGACCAGGACCTCATTCAGCATAGCTATGATAGTGCAGTGTGTACTGACTGGGGTCGAAAAATGTGCACTATAACAATCACTGCGAGGATAGCAGAAAACTCACAAATGGTGGGCATTTCATACCTGCTGCTTCATTTTTCCCTCCTCAGCATTTCCTTTTTCCAAGCCACCTGAATTTATTGGGCCTAAAGAAAAAATGCCCATATGCCTAATGTTTAGCTGTTAACTAGAATAATGTTAAGCTTCCTCCAACCTGACTCACTATGCACAATTCACTGGATACATTTAATTGGCTTTAGCTTGGAGACCACTCCCAAAATTGGGCAATATTATTTGTACTACCCTTGGCTCCTACAAAACTAAGTGGGATGAGGCCCCATTTTACTAAGTCTTGAAGAACCAGCTCGGACTCTAATCAGGAACATCCCCCAAGGGTATCCTTGAGGAGTACAGTCCATAAGAGAGACCGCAAGAACACTCGGACAATTGTTTAATAGGTCAGAGTTAAAAGGGAAATCAATTTGTTTACAGAAGTAACTAAAATGGGGTTGATGACCCATGACCAACTGTCATAAGCCTCCCACAAAATACACAGGGGTTAGCATAAATTTAAAAAACAAACATTAAATGAGAGGGGAAGGGCTGAAAAAGTAGTTATAACCAATGATTAATAAAGAGGAAAATATTACTGGTCAAACACAAAGTTTCAATTTGGTTTGAATGGCCCTTTCCAACATCAAAAAATGTTTGTGTACCATTAAAAGATTCCAATAAATGAACTGATTAGAGCAAATTCCTAATAAACAATCAGAGCGAAGAAGCCTTAGAAACTAAATGTAAAGGCATCCAAATACTTCCAATATGCCAAAACAGTAAGTAGAGAAAGGATGCAAATCTGTTAGGAACCATTCCCATTTTGTAATCTTGCGTAGACTTCTGCACAGGAAGGGTTCATTCACATCTAAAACCCGGGACATGCAGAATGTGTTTTTCTATTAGTCTGATTTATAACACTGACTCCAGTAGTTACAGAGGGCAAAACACAGCTACAGCACTCTATGGGCAGCAGCAACTTGCAGAGGTTCAGTTTTCCTTTCATTCAACTCCTGTTCCTTACAGATTTTTTTTAATTAAAAAAAAATAGAAAAAAGAAAAACTGTATTTAAATATTTCAGTTATCTGGGGTGGGTAATCTGACATGCCAATATCAGTAAAATATGTACCAGTAGCAAGGTACCCAATGGGATTCATACTTCAGTCAGCTTTCAAATGATGAACTTGGATTCTAAATCCAGAACTGCATTTGTTACTGAAATTAGGAACTCCAAAACATTACTGAAGCCTGCTCAATGGATAAATTAAAGACATGAAAGTAAAAAACAAACCAACAAACAAAACAAAAAACACACCACACTTTTATATATAAAAATTCAAAATCATGATTCAGTTCATTGAAGGATGTTTCAATGTTTTTTTAATCCAATGGAAATATGTAAAACCACCTGCTTTCCTACTGATATTGTAGAGTTTTTTGTTTTGTTTTTTTGGAGAAAATAAGGGGGGGAGGGTACGTGGAACAAACCTAGGACTGCCCTCCATTCCTCTCTGCTAGCCTACTCAATGGTAGAGATGATGTCTCCTCACTTCTGAACTGTTCCTCTAAGGCAGAGGTAGGCAACGTTTTTTGGCCAGGGTGCCAAAAAAACACAATATCTACCTTGGAAGGTGCCAGAGTGCCGACATGCCAGAACCCAGAGCAGCTGTTTGCAGCCTCCTGGCTACAGGCAGCCCAAGGACCCCAGTCTGCTTGCAGCAGGGCTTGCATCCTCCCACCTGCTGGGAGCAGCCTGAGCTCCATGGCTGGCAGCAGCTGCTTAGAGCCCGGGCTGGCGGTGGTGTGCTGAGCAAAATGGCCTTGCATGCCATGCTCGGCACGTGTGTTGAGGCTAGCTGACCCCTTCTCTAAGGTGTTCAGAAATCCTCAGGACTGAAAAGTCTCTTTCCTAAGCAGCTGTTTGAGGAACACAGATGATAGCCCTCTTCCTCCATTTTGGGTAGTCCTCAGAATCAATTTGGATGTGTTCCAGGGAGAAATAAAAAGGGTAAAGGGATTTTCCTAGTCCAAATTGAGAATAAGCAGCAACCCTTTTGGGAGTTGGGAAAGGAGTACTGACAGGAGCTGTCTCCCAGGGAAGCACTTGAGAGCAATGTCAACATGCTGGTACATGATAAAGGAAATGCAATTGCCATCAGTGGAGCAGGGAAAGTGACTGCACGCAAAGTACTGCCAAATACACAAAGCTGAGGAACTAAAAAACAGGGATTATCTCCCCTTTAACTTTCTAGTTACAATCTTAAATTGTTTTGTAACTCAGGTGTCATTTTTACAATTACACATTTACATTTAAAACAGGGAAATTAATTTATTTTACTTAAATTAGAAATACTGCCAAATTTGAGTACAAAAAGTTGAATTAACTCCTTTGTACAGCAGTATGAGCAATAGCCGCAAAAAAACAAACAAACAAACAAAAAAAAAGACTTTTTAATGCCCTCAGACAACGTGGCCAACAAGTGCCAGAACAACCTACTCCTTGAAGTCACCTAGTTTCAGATCCAGACTCACTCTGCAGCTAGGAACTCTTGTGTCATCATGAGCTGCAGACAGACATCTAGAATCACAGTTCAAGTAGGTTCAAGTAGTAAGCCTGTGTGAAGCAGCTAGTATTTGCTTTGGATTTGGCCAATTTGGGGGACCGTGATTCGATTCAGTGATTCAAATCACTGTCCTGAATTGATTTGGCCAGATCCGATTTGGAGATTTGGCCTCAGCTGAATCAGCCGAATCTCCGAATTGGCCCCATCCTCCACCCACTCTCAATGGCTGCCCCACCTGGCCCCAGCCCCCAAAAAAGCCCGCGCTCACTGACTGCTGCCAGGTGGGGGAGGGGCAATTCCTCCTGCCCCCCACTGCATAGGGGGCTCTGCCATGAGACCCCTGCCCACTCCCCCAGCCCCACCCATGGCTGCCCCGCCTGCTCCAGCTCCCAGCTATTTAAAAAAAAAACAAAAAACTCTGACTCACCAGCTCTTCCCAAGCAAGGGGGCAATTCCCACTTTCCCCCACTGCCCTATCCTGCCAGGGAGGAGGAAGGGCTCTGCCACGAGCCCCCAGAAGCTCCAAGGCAGCTGCAGCAGCTGGCGAGTCTGGGTTTTTCTTGTTTTGTTTTGTTTTGTTTTGTTTTGTTTTGTTTTAAAGGGCCGGGAGCTGGGGCAGGT